CCATATAAATTTATATAACACTGCATCTGCTGAAAGAGCCTATTTTATAGCAAAAGAGGTGTCGCAGGAGATGCACGGTGCTTGGTCTTCAATATCACTGGATTTTCAAATAAAGAGACCCACTTCTGGGCATATCTGTAAGTGTAGTTTTGATGACGTTTAACAGAGAAGGAAAGACTATCCAGAAATGAGTGGTCTGTGCCCAGATTGGATAAACGAGGAAAGGGGAGCAAAGAAAATCCAACGAGGACCAGCATCCACCTCTGTGTGCTTCCCACCCATGGATGTGCTGTGGTGTTCTTTTCTCTGCAGCTTCAGCTGCTCTCACAGAACACATATCCCCCAAACAGTGAGCCAAAATAAACTTTCCCTTCCTTGCATGACCTTTGGTGAGTAGTCTAGCATAGCAACAACATAAATAACTAGCAACGGAGTACCTGTCTATAATATCCATCCAAAAGCTGCCAGCCTGATAGAATTTTTTTTTAAAAAAAAAAAAAAGAGCTGTAAATAGCCTGGTTAAAGTAGCCTAGCTAAAAGGACCATAAAGGCCTGTGATGCTGTCTTCTAGGATGCTGTTGTACTCACTTAATAAACTGGGACGGCATCCCCAGGGTATCCGATGTCTAGATCCAAGAATAAAACGCACTAAGTAGTATTGAACCCCACTTAGCATCATGCGAGTGACCCGATGGAATACTGTGTGCTCTTTGTGTCCTCAAACATACCCTGCTGGTTGGAGGGCCGGAGTCCAAGAGGGGACTACTTTCTTCTCCAGGGGAGAGAGTAATGACTACAATACTCTGGAAGCTATGACCATGCCAGGGAATCAGCAGGCCGAGGAGGGCTTTGGAAAGTTAATAAGCCTTAATTATGAAAAGATGGTATTGCTGCCACACAATCAGGGCAGGAAGGGCATGTAGGAAAGCCAGACTATTCAGTGATATATCACTTCCTGCTTGGATAGTCAGGACACTAGCAAGCAGCAACTGTAGCACTCAAGTTCAGAGACAGGTAAGTTAAGACTGGGTGCCTTGAGGGGAGTATCCAGGTAATCTCGCGTAATTAATGATAAGAGAATCCAGAAGAGGGGTCTTAATTGGGGAAGTGATGAATACCAATTTTAGCCTTAGAAACCACTATGACTATAAGGAGATTGGAGTTGGTTTAGTTATAGTTTTTCATAGCTTTATCAATAGATGTTTGCTACTCCTCTGGCCCCAATACCTCTGCGATGGTTGAACTTGGTGGAAAGTGAGATCTAAATGTGTGTGTGGTGGGGGAGGGGTATGGAGGGTGGGGATGGGGTGTTCTGCTATCTGCTATGCATCTCTGATGCACCCTCACATCTTCAAGGCACCAAAGGCTTTCAGTAATGGTTGTGAAGACATCTTTCTTGTTGACTTTCTATGGATCCACAATTCTGCCTACTTCTCAAAGAGTCTCTATACATGCAAACCTTTGGATAAAATCCTGCTTCTAGGCAACCCAGGGTTAGAGCTTAGTGCTTCATCCATGTCTTGGTATGTGATGCCCAAGCCTGAAAGGCTCTAAAATGCTTGCTTCATCTCAACCCAAGACCTAGACCCGCCTTAAAATTGCACTGTCTAGGTCTGATACTTATTTTCCCCCTCTTTTTTATTCAGCTTCTTACTTTATGCACTGTCCCCTTGCATTCATAGTTTATTCTCATTCATTTAAAAGTACTTTAATTAGTCAATAAAAACAGATATATATATATATATATATATTTATGCTATATAATGTTTTAAACTAAGCATGCATTTATTATGAATAAGTACCTCTAAATTGCTAAGTTGAGCTAGTTAATGCAACATTCTCCCCTATAATTTATCAGTGGTGGGGAATACTTCAAATCTGTCCTCTTTGTCACTTGCATGTATACAGTGCATGTAGTATCAACCATGTTGCACAATAGAACTCTTGGGCATCTCCCCTGTCTGCCTGAAATCGTATGCATCTATGTGTGTGCTTCTAAGTTCCCCCCCAGGGTAACCACCACTTTGCTCTTTGCCTGCGAGTTGAATATTTTCAGACTCCACCACTACGAGATCATGTTGTACTTATACCTCTCTGCCTAGTAGATTTCACACAATACGATATTCTCTGGGGTCACCCATGTGGTCACAAATGCAGATTCCCTCCCACGGTGGTTACTGGCCACTTTTTTATCTTTCCATTCATCCATTGATAGGTATACTTATTTTTCATTCATTAATGCATGACATAGTGGCTCTGTATTTGGATGCTCTGGGGACTTGAGGAGGTACTTCCTGTCAGGCAGAAGTAAGTCAGTAGGCCTCTGGAGATTCTGCCCAGCCCCTTCTCTTGCAGCTTTCACTGCTTCCTACTCTGCTGTGATATAAACAGCCTTTGTCACAGATGCCCACTGCCATGGCCTGTCTGTCATGCCTTCCTTGCCTTAATGATGTGAAACCTTCTCAAACTGTATGACAGAAAATCTTGCCTCTTGTGAGAGGCCTATTGCAGGTAATTTGGTTACAGCAATAGCAATGTAACTAATAGAGTTGGATTTTCCATCTTAGCTAGTGTAACATTGCAATGAGTGTTGAGTGTAGATATACTAAGCATATCCATCTTAGGGTGTGTGCATCACTTCTACTTTTAATATTTAAGGAACATTTGAGACACTAACCTTCAGTTCCCAACATCATAAATATTTTCATCACATTTTTTTTCTTCTGAAGGAACCCCACAGTGCTAGCAGGAAAGACAATTCGCAGAACTACAATTGGTCACCTGTCACACATAGCCTTCTCGGAATGGAGGGGTGTCTGTAGGCCTCCGTGGTGGCCAGTAAGAGAAAGTTGATTGATAGCTTCCCAGAAGGGAGAAATTACCTTCATAGGAACCAATTTCGTTGCCATATAACTTTTTGAGCTTCATCCTTCTTCCAGCTTGAAAGGTTGAGAGGAAAATGGACATTGGTCATTCATCTTGAACACACGCTCTGTGTATTGAAGATTTAGGGTAAAGTGAATAGAAAGAAAAGGGAGAAGGAAATGGTTTCCCTGTGGCATCATGGAGCTTCCAGGCTTCTTTTCTTTTTTATGTGGTGGCAATTAAGAGTTCATTTATTAAGGCACTGTAAATGTGTGTTCTGTTATGCACAGCTGGACGTAATTCTAATGAATAACAATTTATTTTCCCTACTCCAGCCTCCTGGGCTCTCTTTTAATCCTTAAATACACCAAGCACACTTCCACCTCAGATTTTGCACTTGGTGTTCCGCTGTCTGGAACTTTTTCCCCTATGCCCACAAGACCTGCAACTTCATGTCATGAAGGTCTCTACTCAGATAATATCATAAAGCTTACTTGATAGTCACACAGTCTACCTCCCTCATTTTAAACATATTCTCCATAGCATGGTCTGCTCTTTGTTTCTAATCAATTATTAGCTTTGACGTAAAAGACTTATTTGGGTAGTTTATATTAGATTTGTTTATTTGTGAAGAAACTTAAACACAAAATCCTTAAATTGGTCATTGAATTATTCCCCAAACCAGGGATCTTCCATCCCTGAACCTGTAGGAGGCATGGAGGTCCTTGTGCTCACAGTAAGCACAAGATAAGCACAGATATACACAGGGTTGTATCTTCAAAGAGGAGAGTGCTTAACCTGTTTTCCTCCAGAAGGCTGGGAGTGAACACAGTTGGTTAATAGGCTGATGGCCTTTGTATTGTCTGTGTGGCTGAGACCACAGCGGATTCTCCTCTAGGCCTTTATCTTGAGCTTGTTTTCTCGGTTAAGATATAGAGCCTATCTTTATGGACGATGTCACTTGTACATTACAAAGAGTTTTGATGTAGTCATGTCCTAAGCTTTGTTGTACACACGGCACAGAGTAAATTATCACCAGGATACTTTTCACCAAATTGTGCTGGGCTTAAATGTGCCTAAAATAAACTACTGGCGGTCAGACTACCAAAATTTGAGCTAACACTTGTTATGGAATTGTGTGGAACTGAATTGCCTTCTCTTGTTCCATGAATTGTTAACCTGTTGACCATGGTGGTCCAGAACTCGAGTGTTAATTATAACAGAGGTCCAGGTAGTGGCTACACAATGAATTGAATATGTACACAGGTTAGGACTCAACAAACTAGCAGGTAGGTGTCCATAAGCTCTCAGTTCTCTCCTTGACTCTGACAACTTCTTAGAACAACTTTACATAAATCAGGAAAAAGATCAACATCTCTTATGCATGTGAAAATACTCAACTACGTACCAGCAAAATGAGCACAAGAACATTAAAAAAAGATTATGCAATATGACAATTAGGAATTAACCAAATAATGCCAAGTATATTTTAATGTCTGAAGATAATTAGTGTAAAATGTCATAACAGTAGAATAAAGGAGAAAAGCAAACAGTGATCTCAATAGCTGCACAAAAATCATTAATCAAAATTCTATACCCTCCATAATAAATAATCACACAGTTAACTGAAATATAGGGATATTTCCTTGACTTAGGACGGTTATCTGTACAAAACCCAAACTGAATGTCACTGGTGAACCTTTGATGCTTTTTCCTTAAGACCAAGAAGAAGAAAGAACATCTGCACTTGATACTACTGTTCAACACTATACTGGAAAGCCTAGCAACAGAAGTTAGACCAGGACATGAAAATAGAAAGCATCTACCCTAGAAAGGAAAAGATGATACTATGCTACCCTCATTGAGCATAATTCATGGAAAGTCATCAGGGAGTACACCTATAAGATTAATCAAACTAACAAATGACTTTAACGAAGTTGCCAGTTAGAAACGCAATATATGCTCTTTCGGTCGCAAGCGTTTCGGGAGCCGCCAGTTACTGTCCAGCCACGCGCAAGTCCAAGAACCACACCACACACAACCAATCCCGAAAATGGCACAGAAATGGCATCAAGAAATCCCGGTCACAAAGATAGGAATCTCTCAAGGGGATCGACCCCAAGTTCCTGAGGAACATGTGCTTTGCCCAGAAGCATAACAAGGAAGGCCTGAAGAAGATGCAGGCAAATAACGCAAAGGCCATGAGCGCATGTGCAGAAGCCATCAAGGCCCTGGTGAAGCCCCAGGTGGTGAAGCCCAAGAGGACAAAGGGCCCCAGCTCGCTTTCATTGCTCACCCCAAGCTTGGGAAGCAGATTAGAAGCTACATGGCCAGGGGTCGTAGGCTACAAAAAAACAAAGCCCAAGGTTCAAGCCAAGGCAGAGGCCTCAGCTGCAGCTCAGGCTCCCAAAGGTGCCCAGGCCCCTGTGAAGGCCTTGTAAGAAAGGTCTCAGTATGCCAATGTGAAGACAGATGGACTGGTGTGAACATCTATACAGTATTTGCAGATGATCAGGACCTTATGCTGTTTTTACAAATAAACTCGAGGCAAGATCTGCTAAAAAAAAAAAAAAAAAAAAAAGAAAGAAAGAAAGAAAGAAAGAAAAGAAAACCAATACACAAAATTTGATGACATTTGTATATGATTGTGATTCATGCTCTAAAAAAAATGAAATTTAAAAGTCAATTCTTTTCACATTGTACTCAACACAATAAAGCAGAAATTGGCTTAACCAAAAAGCTCCAAACCATCACTCTGAAAAAGACAAAATATTATTGAGGGAAAGCAAAGAAAACCTCAATAAATGAAAAGATGTCATGTTTCTGGGTTGGAAATAGAATGTCATTAAGTATGAAAAAGGTCTCCAAATTAATGTACAGATTTAAGACAATCTTAAAATCCTCTAGGCTACCATTTAGCAAGCTGATCCTAAAATGCATACACACTTAAAATAACCAAAACCATAGAAATAGAACAAAGTAGGAGTCACCTCCCAATTTTAAAACCTCCTTCAATCATACAGTGTTAGGATAATTTAAAGACCCTCCCTTTAATACATATGGGAATCCTTCTATATGCCAGAGTGCCTGAGTGAAGAGAAAGGGAATGTACTAGGGCTTTCTGCCTAATAAAATTAAGGTAGTTGCCCCTCCCAAGGACAGCCCTAACTCACCAACCCTGCCAGAAAAGGTAGAACAAAAACCATGGGGACAGATGTGAACAAAACCTCTGTTTTGGAGAGAGAGAAGCTATCAATGTGTTAAGAAGTTGGAACCCTCAGAAAAGGATGGCCAATGACCCACAAATAGAGGCTAGACTCTAGAGCAGTGGTTCTCAACCTATGGGTTGCAACCCCTTTGGGGTTGCCTATCAGATATTCTGCATATCAGATATTACATCACAATAGAGCTAGCAGGAGCTACAGGCTGGCACTGACTTATTTGACTCATTCGCTTACTCACAGTGCTAGTTGATCTTGAGAAACTGACTAGGAACTGAGAGTTGCCAAGGACAATGCTAAACCATGCTCCTGGGTGTGTGTGGGAGGCATTGCCCAGAGACATCTGTCAAGTGGAAAAGCAACTAAGAGCCTTCAATGTGAGCTGCTCCATCCACATCCGGAGAGTACAGAGGCAGGAGAAAGCCCATCATCACAGGCCCCCCTCCCTGTCTGCCACACGCTGCTGCCCCCACAATGGTGCAGCCCTTCTTCAGGCTGAATCAGCCAGATTACCACGAGGTTTTTTTCCGTTTGTAATTTCTTACAAAGAGGAAAGATTTAGAAATGGGAGCAGAGAGTGATGAAGCATGACCCAGATGTTAGTTCTTATCTAAGGCACAAAGGCTGGAAAAGGTTACATACCCTTCCCTTCATCATCACTAGACCAGGGCGGGGGATAGCATAAGATGCTCACCTGCGAAGGGAACCTCCAACAAGAGGCTTATCAGACAGTATTTTAGAAACAAGAATGTAGCGTTGAAAACTAGCGCTTGCAACTGGAAATTCTCAAGTATGACGCCAACCGTTATGGTCTTTAAAATTAGTGTTAAAATCTACTAGTGGCATGATCAGACAACTTCCATATGTAAACTTGGTTCACAATGCCTCTGGACTCCAATCCCTTTATAGAGATCGCACCTTTCCCCAATTAAGGAAAACTGACTGAGGAAACTGAAGCGTCAGAGAACTATTAATTACATGCAAATAGCAGGACCAGATGATAAAGGGAGGAAATGGATAAAATGATTCACTTCAAAAATTATGTTTAAATTTAGTTCGAGGCTACCAAATTTCCTGAGACCCTAATATTTCAAAGCTGTCACTGAGAGATACAGTTAAATACACACTGAAATATCCAGGTGTCAATTCTTGAAGGTATGAATAAGCCATATTCCCAGCATAATTTGAAACTTAATCCAAACTCACACTCAGTTAATTTTCAGATTGATGCCTTAGATCTGAGAACTAACAATACCCTACAATGGGAAGCATTCATTGGTGGAGCAGTTGAGCCTGAGTATCACACACCCTTCACCTCCCAGTCACTAGTGAAGTAAGTCTGTCTGAGTGCTACCAACTCTTCATTCGCTAGTTCCATAGATCACACTCAGGGGCGACAGTATCCATTACCACAAAACCTAAGTTAGGTCTCAGAAGAACAGAGCCAAGGTGGACGAGATCCCAAATAGCTGAATCTTCAAGGAGCTCACTTGTAACATGAGGGCCGGCTTGTTGGAGTTTTTGTCCTGCCCAGTACCCCAAAACCGGCAAGTCCCAAAGAAAATCATAGAGTCTACATTAGGTTATAAACTGATTGACCCATTAGGTCAGGCTATTTATTAGCTCTTATAACTTTTGTTACCCCATTATCCTTATCTATGTTAGCCACATGGCTCAGTACCTTTCTCAGCTGGGCAGGTTACATGCTGCCTCTTTGGTGGTCTGGGCAGGAATGGCAGAGGGAGCTCCCTGCTTCCCAGAATATTCCTGTTCTCATTGCCGGGCCTCTACTTCCTGTCTGGTTGACCCACCTATACTTCCTGCCTGGCCAATCAGCATTTTATTAAAATACATGATTGACAGAATACAGACAATTCTCCCACACCACTTACTGTTCTTAGCACAGCTTCAGGAGGCTGGTAAAAGCTGTTGTCTTAATCGGGGTTTCTACTGCTGTGCTAAAACATTATAACCCAAACCAACTTGGAATGGGAAGGTTTACTCCATCTTATACTTCCACATCACAGTCTGTCATCAAGGGGTATCAGGGCAGGAGCTTGGTGCAGTAGCTGAAGCAAAGGCAATGGAGGAGTGCTTTTGACTGGCTTGCTCACCATAATTTGCTCAATCTACTTTCTTATACACTCCAGGACCACCAGCCCAGAGATGACATCACCCACAGTGGGTTGGGCCTGTCCCATCAATCACTAATCACAGGTGTGCATACAGGCCAGTCTTATGGAGGCATTTTCTCAATTTTGGCTCCCCCTTGTTAGATGACTTTAGTTTGTGTCAATTTGAGCAAAAAACAAAACAAAACAAAACAAAAACCCATGACCAGGACAAATTCATTTCTAGCAAATGAATATTCAGTATTTCAATCTGAGATCTGGAATCTATTTGAACATTACCCCTGTATTCCATAAACAAATGGGGGTATCTCAATGGTACCTTTATTTTTCATCATAGAATCTATATTCTTTCCTCAAACTTTCTTTGAGCGGAAGAAATAGTTCAACCAGGAAAATATATTGGAATTCTCAGTGGTGATGTTCCTCAATTTCTAACATTTTGTAGTGGAAAGAAAGTTTCAACCACATGGAAGTAGACTGATTAGTTACATAGTCCAGCCTCTAGAACTGTCAGCACATTGTGAATCTTGGTCCATTAGCTTAGTAACTTGTACTTAGTCTGCAAGTGCTTCCTATAATGGGTTGGATAGCAGATATTTTCAACTTAGATGACCACCTGGTCCCTGTCACAATATAAAGGCTCGGGAGTCATCATGTGAGGTCAATCATAGGCAATATGTAAACAAATAATAAGACTGTATTCTAATAAAGTCATTTACACAAACACTCCACCCATGAGCAACCAAGCTGATTTCTGTCTTCCTGGAAAAACTGGCCTGTCCTTGAATGTTGTAACAGTGTATAATTTGACTTTTTTTGCTAAGTGTAAATTTGAGATTACCCCATGCAGCCGTGCACATTGGCAGCTTGTTCTTCCATTGTTGAGTAATGTCCTGTTACCTAAATAGCATGCAATTTTATACATTTTTCTGCTTATAAAAATTTGAGCTGTTTCCAAGGTTTTGTTATCATGAGTGAAACCGCACTCAGAGCTTATGTGTGAACATTTTCATAAAATTTCAGCTCCTGAGAAAGGAGCAGATGACTCTTAAGACAGCTGCATAAACACAGTGAGTGTGGCAGTGGTCAAACAACTTTATACCTCTCCCAGGATCACAGAAGAGATTCAGTTCCCAGCACCTCCAAGTCCCCTGTCCTCTTAGGCTTTTTAAATGTTACTCATTTGAGTGGTTTGGTGGCATTGATTGTAATACATGTTTACTTTTTGTTTTTTGTTTTCCTTCAGGTACTGGCCAGCCAATACATATCCTTGGTGAAGTGTCTTAGCATTTTAGTTTGGTTGCATTTTAATTATTTATTCGATTGTAGATAAAGTTATCACAAATATCATTTTCCCCAAGACAAGTTAGGGTTCCTGACACAAAAGTCGAATTTATTCTTCACAAAATTTCATATTAACAAAAATGTGTAGTAGCAACATCTTATATTGGGGTGTGTGTGTAACAAAATGCCATAACTGAAAGTAGCTTTATTTTGGCTTATGGTTTTACAGGGAGTGCCCCTCTGAAATGGTGGGAGAGCCAGGGCAGCAGACACCAAGGCAGGATGCTAACAGATCTCCACAGCAAACATGAAATAGAAATTGAACTGGACGTGTAATGAGACTTTGAAATCTCAAAGCTTGCCTACTCAGTGACATACTTCCTCCACCAAAGTTAGACCTCCTAAATGTTCCCAAAGCTCCCTAAACAGGAAGGGAGGGTCACCAGCCCATCATCACGCCCTCCTGCCTTTCCTAACTACAAGTGGTCTTGGGAGACACCAGAGTATGAGGGAAATAGAAGGTCAGCTGAAACAGAAATCCATGGTGCAGCTTCCACGAGGTCACTGTCTTTGTGCTGATTCAACTGTTTGGAGGAATCACCCATACTCCTGTAGGTAACCCTTCATGCATGCTTTATATGTAAGCCAAATAAAATTATTAGTTCCTCAGCTAGACTTTGGTGAACCTCTTTGCTTTGACAAGTGTGTCATGGGTGCCCTATATGAGAAGAGATTTATTCACGTCATTCCAGGAAAAAAGAACACAACAATCTATTTTAATGTTTCCTAAGAATGGACAATTCT